TTTATTAGAAGATGTGCCAAACTGTTCTGAAATACTGTCCTTATAAGATTCTGGTAAACTAAATATATATGTGAACTCTGTATCTGTTGAAAGCATATATGATCCATTATTGATAAATATTAATGCAATATTTTCATTTGTACTGCTTCAACGTAAATACATGGTGCCATTTGAGGTCAGTAAAAAAAGAGAGCAACTATACTTCTGGGTAATGTGTACTGCTTGAGAATGTCACTCTTCTTGTCATACAGACACCATCAGTTTTTTTTTAAAAAAGCATCATCCAACCCATTGGATGATTGCAAAGCAAATTCAAAAGAATATTTTTTTTAAAAGGGACAGGATGCAGAGTCAAATACAGTACCATCTAGTTATAAAATATGGCAACAAAGATTCTACTGGTGCATCATTCTACAACTTCAAATTGTGCTTCAGTTTGCGTAGTGTGTTGAATGCCCCTTATGTAACACAAAGTGGTTGGTGCAATCTTATAAAGTCATCACAAATCACCTGGGTTTGAAGAGGCCTCAAGTGGAGATTAGAAAGGAAAAAATAATTCGTGCTGAAGTGTAAGGAAATGGGAAGTGTAAGAACATAGAGGAATGAGGAGTTCATATGCAAAACCTACATGTCAGAACTGGATATTGATTCGCCAGTTGAAACTCAATGTATGGTTGTGTAAAGCTCTCGCAGTTTGGAAAGGATTCAGGGGAAAATGTAATTCCTTTCATGATTAAATCATTGTAAATGCAACAGAAAAGCTCTCTATTTCGCAGCTAAAATGTAAAAGTGGCAACATTGATTGAAAGAACTTTTCTCACCGGATGCTGCCACTCAACATTGACCGAAAAGAATACTATTCTCCAGATACCATTTTGTAAGATATTATCATTCCTGAGAAATTGTAATGGGGACCAACAATGATAAGTGCCAGCACCAGCGATGAACTGGTGGGCTTTGCATAAGTAAGAAAAGAATTTCAGCTATGAACAGATCTCAGGGATTCACATCGGAATCCTCCTCATTAACCTTTGCTCATTGTACTAACATCTGAAGCTGTAATTTTGACTATCTGTGTTTCTATGTAAACCAGCAAATATTCAAAAGATATTTGATCAGTCACACACATTTCCCACACTTGCATTTGAGCAAGTATAAATGGACAAAGTGCCACCTAGTATTTTGCATTGAAATCCCAGTCAGTATTTATCACTCAATGAGCCCAGGTAAGAATTACACCTGCTCAATATCAATGACAGATCCCAAAGTAGGAAAAATGAGGAGGTTGGCTTCTGAAAGGACCTAGCATTGTGTATTGAATTTGGGAAGTCATGCTGGCAAGCAGCATTTTGTCACTTAACAATTGGTCTTTAATAATGGGACAATCTCAAAGGGTCTACGGAAAAAGGAAAGAAGATTTGTAGGGGTGGACGAAAAAAAGACATAACTACACCAACATTTTCTTCACATTTCTATTGCCCTCTTCTGTACACTGTTAAGTAAAATCAGACAGTTAAGGGAAAGACATTTAACATTCTGAAATTCAGATTCCAGCTGTTCCCCAGCCATATCTGCTTAAAAAAGAGAACTGAAGTAAAAGCAAGCTTCACCAAAATTAATGAAGCAGAATTCAAGTTACAAACAGGCTATAGTTGGGTCATTCGCTTTCCTCGATTAGAACTTCCATTTTTATCTACTCCAGTGCCAGAATTAAGGTAAAACTGGGTGTCTGAAGGAGTGAAATGACTGCTTGTTCTGAGTGGTAATGATAAAAAAAAGGCGGCAGCCATCTCGAAAGCTGGGAGTGAGAGAAAGAAACGGCCTGATTGAAGAAATATTTATTCATTGACCCACGCCGTGCGCCTTACCTTCACAGCCGTGTGTAGGTCACCTCCAAGGTACTGTTTACTTCAATTATATATCATTACGAGAAACAACCGTTTGATGATATCTAATCAATTTAAACATCTGCGGGTGTGAATGAAATCTTCATGATTTTTTTCTCTCTATTCAAAGCAGCCTAGATCGAAACTGCTGAATTTTAACTCTTGCTCTCACCCAAACGTGAGGGTTTAACAGTTCTGAAGCAGAAAGCAGCTGCTTAAGAAATCCCTTCGCTGGGTCTATCCCCGAGCTCAAACTCATGCTGTACAGTCCGGACAGAACCCTACCGTTCCTCTCCTCCCTTCCCTTCACCAATGTTTTCCTGCTAGTACCAGTACCGCCTCTGTCTATTCCCACCGTAACTCAACCTTCGTACCCCCATCCCCCCAACCCCTGTTTAACTCAGTCCCTCTCATTCACAGACTGCAATCCAGCCCTGGCTTCAAACCCAGGTAGAATCCCAGTCTCTGCACCTTCAATCCTGTGCATCCCTCAGTCAGTGCAGAGTAGCGGATGGGCCAAGACAGAATGCAATCTGGAGCAATGCCATTCAATCATCCATTCGTTGCAAGCAGATTACTCTGATGCCTAGACAGGGATCTTTAACTTTGAAGTCTTTCGGTTGAACGGCGTGACAACTAAATACCAACTCGGAAAGCCTGTCACCCAGGCGTTCCTGTCAACAGGTCAGAAAAGTGATGCTAAACAGTCAGACTAAAAACAAATGTTCATTGTGGGAGGTCAGCCTTCCGCCTGTTTAGTGGGGAGCGAGATTACCTTGACGTTAATGATATTGGTAACTGTAAATTGTACAATCGATAGCAATCAGTTGAAGGGCAGTAAGTCACATTTCAAATGTCACTGTCTCTCATGTACACGAAACCCATCTCTCCTGCCTCGGTAAGTGAAGGGTTAAAACACATCCCCGCTCTCTGTCTGGGGAACAGCCAAACGACAGTTCCCCCAGGGTCCCTGCACCGTGATGTGGAACAGACAGTGAGAGATAGCACTAGACCAGCACTCAGGGAGAGAGCCCGGACTCACGGAGCTCAGCTCTCACTGATCCCACAGCTAGAGGAAGGGAGGGCGACGGGGAGCAAAGATTGACCAACTTCACAGCAGCTGCGATTTGGGAGCTGGGTAAATGGCTCGCCACGGTACAGCTGTGAGGTTACAGTCAGCTGCAGGCTGTACCCTTGGCCCCTTGTCCCCAGGCCGCTTCACCCTTCACCCCATCCCCGACTCTCTGCATCTTGTCATCGCCCCAAACTCACACTCCGCGGTGATCAGTTTCAGTTGGTGTGACCATCCAAAGCCCTGTCAATGTCAATGCCCAGATGCTGACTGGTCACACCAATTTCAAATCCTGCTAACTCTATCACCGCTGATGTCCCCATCACATTCACATCCTGCCATTTCTATAGCCCCGCTGTCCCCATCATTTTCGTATCCTGCTAACTCTATAACCCCTGTTATCGCCATCACATTCACATCAGCGAACTCTATAACTGCGTTGTTTCCATCACATCCACATCCTGCTAACTTTATAACCCGTTGTCACCATCACTTTTATATCGTGCTAACTCTAGCCCCGTTGTCACCATCACTTTTTCTAACTCCAGCCCCGTTGTCACCATCACTTTTATATTGTGCTAACTCTATAGCCCCGTTGTCCCCAACACATTCGCATCCTGCTAACTCTATAACTCCCGATGCCCCCATCTAGTTCCACTTTGGTCTGGCCCCACCCCAAATAATATTGCTACTTATTATTAAAAAAAAGACTAAGCTCTTCCTTTGACAGTGTTTGGTCATTGAAGTTCCAAGTGAGTGAGGAAGAAGAAAGGTGAGGCAGCAGGAGATCAGGAGCAGTTGCTCACAGAGACTGTTGCAGAGCGGAAACATCGGGGGCTCATCGTCAACAGATCTACGGAACTCCCAGAGCAGAACACCTTCACCAGAAATTGTTTTCGGGGCTCAGCCAGCATGTGTGGATTCACTCTACCCACTTCTGCGCCTTGCAGTTGGGGAGATGGTTCATGGAAGACGCGCTCCCATTAATGGGGTGTGTGTGTCTGTGTGAGAGAGAGAGTGATGGTGAGACAGGCAGGGAAAGCTATACTTTTAGCCGGAGACAGCTCCGCACTGCCACCTGCCGCATTGAGCAGTCGACTCGAGAGATTCTCACAAGCCCCGCTCGAAATCCACTTCCACAGACATCCAACTCGGTCTGAACACCCGCCCAGCCTAAACTTTCAGCATCCAGGCGACACACACATTTTATCTTTGCTTCTGGCGCCTTCCCGTCCATTCCAATCCAAAATCCTGAAGGGGGGCAGTTTGCAGCTCACTCCATCCCAGAAATAAAACATTTTTAAGCAACAAAAAAATCCTACCGTTCCCCCGCCAAACCCGCTCAACATAATGTACCTGGAATGTGATGTATCTGAACCGCAGATTGCATCCCCTCACAATTGTCACCAAACTCTGCATGGATCAAGCCTGGAGATCGGCAAACATTGATATAGCTGCTCAATGATGAGTGTGTTTGTGTTTGTTTGTACGGGAAGAGGGGTCCTGTCTCCTCAGCTTCAGACTCTCTCCAAACATTATTACACGCCAGGTACAAACTCTCCGAGATTTCAGATGCACAGCCTACCGTTTCGATAGACACATTCATGAAAGTACAAGCTCAAGAGTGTTGGCCAAGAGCTGGCGTTTCACCAGGACCCCCGAACCACACAGACACAAACACACACCCAATAAACACAAGGAGGAAAGTTAACACCTTCAATGTTCCCCAAATAAGCACCAGATACAACCCCCCAAGCCTTCCAGCCCCGTCTCACTCGGCAAGAGGTCTCTCACAAGGCGGACACACAACGCAATGATGGGGTGGGGGGGGGGGGGGGGGGAGACGAAAAGTGAAAGACTTCATTTCAAACAACTCTCCAGTTTTCAATCTCTTCTGCAACCTGTCCCGACGCTCAGTCCCACATTCTCTCTCTCTCTCTGCAATGCAGTCGATGCATCTATCTGGGGTTTTGTATGTGTTTTCCCCCCTTCACATAACACACTACATGCATATTGTTATTGACATGACCGTGGCTTCCTACCTTCCCCGCCGCAGACAAGCAATCCGATTAGGTAGAATAAGGCGAAGGTCATTTTCCCCCCCGGAGCTTGTGGCCGGTGCAAGGCAGCTTCCCGGAGACTCGCACTGAGCCGGTTGCTCCTTTGCCAGAGCGGTTCCTGAAACTGGCGCTCAAAACCGTGCCACACTGAACTATATCGCATGCCAACCTCTGCCAGAATATTCCTCCGCGGCGGGGCGGCGCATCGCCTTCACACTCCGGCGGTCAGTCAACCCATCACTCTGCTACAGAACATAAATATCTGTATTTACAGAGAGTCTGATAGGGAGAGAGAGAGAGAGAGAACGATAGAAATAGGCAGATAGATAGATAGACAGACAGACAGACAGATGTAGAAGTTATAGCTAGATGAATGGATAGATAGATGGATAAATAGATGGAAATAGATAGAACGATAGAGATAGATGGATAGGTA